TAATCTGAGAAAGTATTTAGTGCTACGTTCGCCTTCTTCCATCCAATTTATTCTTGAACGTATGTATGCAACTTTTGTTTCATTCTCATAAATATTTTCCAATATTTTTGTTTTTTCTTCAATTTCTTCCTCAATGCTTTTATTGGAATTACCAACATTGTTTACGAGTGAGTCATTTAGCTGTTTTATTTGGTTTTGTAGTTTCACTTTTTCTTTGTTTTTTTCTTTCTTTATTTTTTTGCCATAAAAAATAGAAACGTCTTTAACTCTGACTTTTATTAATTCCCAAAGTAAATCTGGACTGAGAGTTTTTTCATTGTTTTTAGTTTTAATAATAACTTTTCTAATAGCACTTTGATAATCAGTGTTGACTAATAAGTTATTATTATATTTCCAATATCCTGGACCCCTTTTAGAATTATCAAACCCAATTTTAATTGAGATGGCCTGATGATCAGTCAGGATAGCTGGCCTTATATCACATGATATAACTTCATTACAGCCATAAATGTTTTTTGAAATCAACCAGTAGTCAAGCCTTCTATAAATTTGGCTACATTTTCTACGCCATGTAAATTGAGTTTTGTTAGCGTGAGCATCTGACTGAGGCATCTGTTAGCGTGAGCTTTTTCATAATTTTTTTAAGTGTGAAGACAGATGCGTCTTTTCTGTCTGAACTATTCTTTTGATCCCATTTCCTATCGAGGATACAATTTAAATCTCTACCGATGATAATTATATTCTTATTTAAGTCCACCATATTTGAAATAGTCTTATTTAACTCTCTGAAATATGTGCTTCTCACTTTACAATTGTTAGGAGCATATACATTTACAAGAACATATATTTTACCATTGATTTCAACTTTTAGTATAATGTATCTTCCCTTTTTGTCAATACACTCATTTATTTTTTTTAAATTTAAAATCTTTTTAAAATAAAATTGATACTCCCGCACTATTTGAATATCCAGTGCTATGCGTACAAAAACCATTCCATAATAAATTAAATTTATTGAATAATTCAGGTGTAAGATGTGTCTCTTGTAGATATATGACATCAGCTTTCTGATCTTTACACCACTTCAGTATCTGTCTTTGTTTATTTATGTTACGTACACCTCTTACGTTTAAGGAAACGAAATGAATGTTGTCGTTAATCATACGATCGGATATGATTTTTTTTAAAAAATACAGATTGCATTAATCGTTGACGTACGTATATATCGTAAGGCCAACTTTACTGACACAACTAATTAATGAACCTGGCAATAGAATTTTAACAAAACATGTTACACAGATACTAACCATAATATTGGTTAAAAAAAATGTCGATACATACACATACATGCATCTATATATGAAGATATCCATAATAACGAAAAGACCAATGATAGTAATAATTGCAGTATATTAAAAATGATGACAAAGACGTCATCTTTGGGGCAACTACTAGTGAAATTGAGCATTGTATTGTATTGGTAATGATAATAATAACGATAATATTACAATAGTGAATTCATCACTTAAGGCATAAGGTACGCAATCTAGCGTTTTTTTGTTTGTTTATTTGTTTTTGTTTTTTTTTACAATTTATTTGGTTTATTAATTTTACTTACTTTTGCTTCATTTTCGTCGTCTTTTCGTTCCAGGCATTGTTGGGGAGATTTTCTCTGACTCAGCTTGGTCTTTGGATTCATTCTTGTTGTTTTCTTTCTCTTTCACTTGCTTATTAGACCAAGATGATGATTTCATGAAGCTTGTTATCTTCCCTTGTTTCTGTTCGTTTTCATTTATTGGTTCACTTTGCTTTTGATCGCTTTCTTCACTCTCCTCGCTTTCGCTGGATGTCGATTCATCTTCACTAGTGACCACACTCTTTTCCTCTACTACACGTTCCCACATCTCATGAATGAGCTTTTCGCTAGAGTCATCTTGCAACAGTTTTCTGCAAACGAGGTGGTTTGTACATGTTTTAGCATTATGTCCGTACTTTAAACACTTCGAGCACTTCACCTTCTCATCTACTTGCCCAATGTGAACAATTCTGGTTTTGAAGTTTAAGACATTTACAAACCTTGGTAATGGTGTTTTAAGGGTCTCTGCGTAAAGCACCCGATCTCCATTCAGGCAACTTGTCAATTGCCCATCGACTCTCAGCCTCATACGTTGTACGGTCCCCGTTGTTTTACAGTTAAAACGCATAAGAGATGTTTGAATTTCTTCGTCTGCTACTGATAGTGGTAGGTCTTTTACAACAATACGGGTAGCATCCGTATCGTACGGTAGGTATGGGTTTCTATCATATATTGTCACATTCCTTCCTCTGATGTTTACGCCAGTTGTTATTAGGCAAACTCTGTCTTGATGTGAGTCTATATAAAGTCTCCATAAATTCTTAATGCGCTGTATACCTGTTCACTGTAAATTTTCCAGTGTAATCCAAGATTTTATTGAAAATTTTGCGGAGCTGATAAACAGAACGTCTCCTTAGAGAAAGTGTATACTGCCAGTAACATTCAACAAACAGAAGGCTAAGACATTTCTTACCCTAGTACTACTCAGACAAACTTTTCGATGTTCATACTAGGATACCAAAGCTAGGCTTAGCATAACCTTTCGCTACGTCGCCGGACCTGACACAACGAGCGCCCGAGGTACCATAACACGTGAGTAGGCCTAACTCTCGTCTTACCGATATCACTATTACTACTTTACTTGCTTACAACCATACTCATACACTACAAGATGGCTACTGCGAGAGCACCAAAACCATTGGAAGCTTACTACCAACGAAACTGTAACCTCATTTGAAAAGTGGAGACAAAATTTGTTGTATATCTTCTCTCTCGATGGTAACTTCTCACCATTCCTTGCTGAGGACTTCACCTGGAATAAAAAAACTGCCGCTAATCCCAACAGAGGAATTCCAGGTGATGACAATACTGCCCCGGTACCCAACAGGAAAACATCCATTCAAAAGAACGCTTGGCCAAATTGCTAACTTCTGCTCAGTCATCTCTCGAAGCTCTATCATCAAACAATCTACATCACTCCCCGACATATGGCAGAAAATCAGACAGCATTTTGAATTTCAATCCACTGGCGCTCATTTCCTTAATCTGTCTAACATAAAACTACAAACTGACGAAAAACCAGAAGATTTGTACCAGCGACTCATGGCTTTTTTTTTAAAGATAACCTGTTAACAAGATCATATGGCATAACCCACCATGGTGAACCTGTCACCATTGATGAAGACATCTCTCCATCCCTGGAGAATACTATTACTGTCTTATGGCTCCAACTTATTCATCCAGGTCTCCCACAACTAGTGAAACACAAGTACGAATTAGAATTGCGTAATAAGTCTCTTGCTTTACTCAAACCTGAAATTTTTCAAGCAATGTCGTCACTCCTCAACGAGCTACGCAGCATAGATGATACCAAAGTGTTCCGTACCAGCATGTTTAACAAACCTAGTAAACCACAATATGACCTCTCTCGTAAGTACAAACTTGCTTCAACACCAGTCGGTAAATCATGTATCCTCTGTAAAACTGCAGGACGACCGCGACACAACACACACACGCTCATGATTTGCAGATTTCTACCAGCCGGTGATAAGTATAATTTCGCCCAGTCACGTTTCGTCTCAACAAATGAGGACGACTATACGGCGATAGTCGAATATAAGCCTGACTACGATGAAACACACTCCGACGATGACCAACATCCTAATGAACCTACCGCCCTTTTCGACCTACAACCCACAGCAAACCGTGTCAAAGTATTCCAATCACCATTTCTTAATGCATACTATTTCCAGCACCCGGTCAAGTTAACACTAGACACATGAGCTACGACTAACGTTATCAAGGCATCTTTTGCCAGCTTCATCAACATTCCTATGATACCGGCATCACAGATCGCACATCAGGCAGATGGAATAACGCCATTGGATGTTGTCGGAGAGACGCATTGCACGCTAACGAGAGGTGACCATATCTTCCAGCTAGACGCGTTGGTGGTTAAACAAATAGATGTGGACGTTCTCGCAGGTAATCCATTTTTGGTTAGCAACGATATTGCCACTCGCCCTGCCAAACGCCAGATAGTGATTAACGGCACCACCGTAATTCAATATGGTACCCAAACAAATCGCTCACCTACGATAAGTAGGATCCAAGCATGTGTGCTCAGATGTCCAACACAGACTACGCTTTTACCTGGAGATTTTCTTCAACTCACTACCACGGACTCTTGTAACCCAGACTCGTTTCTAGCTTTAGAACCAAGATTTGATAACAAACTCAACCAACACTCTCGACCCGTGAAGGCCTGGCCTTGTTCCCAGGAAATCCAATCAGTCGGAAACGCTATTAGAATCACCAACACCACACAGGACCCAATACAGTTGACTCGCCATGAAAACCTATGTCAGGTTAGAAACATCTCCACGGTTACGGAGAGTACCAAACAGCCACAACCCACCGCACAAAAAGCTCAGCTTTCTTGCCGTCCTTATTCCACAGGTATATCCATTGACCCAGACAACCAGCTACCGCATGACATAAGGAAGCAATTCTCCGCTGTCCACAACAAATCTGACGATGTTTTTAACCCTACAGTATCTAAGTTCAATGGAGCTAGTGGAAAAATAGAAGCAATTGTCAACATGCAGCCACCCCAACGTAAAGGTAGGCTAACCCATTACAACCGTGACACGTTATTAGACCTTCAATCAAAATTTGATGACCTCGAGGATGCAGGCGTTGTTGCCAATACCACAATGGAGTATCTCAAACTTTTCTTGTAAAGAAACCCAACGGTGGTAGTCGCCTGGTAACCTCCTTCGGTGAAGTCGCTCAATACAGCAAACCGCAACCTTCCTTAATGCCCAATGTCGATAATGTTTTACGAGATATTGCTCGGTGGAACTACATCATTACCACAGACCTCAATTAAGCTTACTATCAAATTCCATTAGCTCAGAACTCCATGAAGTACTGTGGCATTGCTACTCCATTCAAAGGCATCCGTGTCTACACCCGATCAGCCATAGGGATGCCTGGTTCTGAAACTTGCCTTGAAGAGCAAATGTGCAGAGTTATAGGTGACCTTATCCAAGAGGGTTGCGTTACGAAAATCGCTGATGATTTATACATCAGTAGAAACACACCTCATGATCTTCTCAACAATTGGCAAAGGACATTGTCTGCCTTGGGTAGAAACAACCTATGTCTTTCTGCCCGGAAAACGCACATATGTCCCAAATCTACAACCATTTTAGGATGGGTATGGTCCAACGGTACTCTAAAAGCCAGTCCTCACAAAATAACTGCACTGACATCTGTCAAACCCCCAGCCACTATAAAAGGACTGCGATCATCTATTGGGGCGTACAAAGTCCTGAGCCACGTCCTCAAAGGATATGCTGCACTCAGGGATCCACTAGACAAAGTCACGGCTGGTCAACCATCACGCGCCAAAATCACCTGGACACACCATACCTAAGCACCAATTATGGATAGTTACCGACGGATCTGTCATAGAAAAGGGCATTGCTGCTACATTATACATTCGCCGAAATAACAAAGTGTTGTTATCTCGTTTCTTCAATGCCAAACTCAAAGTCACTTAGTTACCTTGCGAAATTGAAGCACTTTGTATCGGCGCAGCTGTCCAACACTTTGCACCGTATGTGATACAGTCCTCACACAAAACCCAGCTACTCACTGATAGCCGTCCATGCGTTCAAGCGTACAATAAACTGAGATGTGGTGAATTTTTCACAAGCTCCAGAGTTACCACGTTCCTATCACTTATTAGTCGCTACATGGTAGATGTTCAACACATCGCTGGCATTGCCAATGTACCTACTGACTACGCCAGTAGAAACCCCTCTCAGTGCTTAGACCACAGTTGTCAGGTTTGTAAATTCATAACAGAAATAGAAGACTCTGTTGTTAGGGTATTTACTGTGTCAGATGTTGACGCCGGCATAACGAAAATGCCATTTACAAACCGAGCAGCGTGGTTAGCTACCCAGATGGAATGCCCAGATCTTCGACCCACTCATTCGCACCTCACACAAGGAACTCGAGCCTTAAAGAAAATTGTAAAGATCCCTGATGTGTCATCATCGCAACAGACGGTCTGTTGATTGCACAAGACAAACAGCCATTCCAACCCATTAGGGACCGCATTGTTGTTCCCCGGAATGTTATCGATGGCCTTCTCACTGCTGTTCTTCTTCGCTATAATCATCCATCCAAGCACCAAATGAAGCGTCTCCATAGCCGATACTTCTTTTCATTGGATTTAGATCAAGCCATAAGTACCACATGCTCATCATGCCACCATTGTTCATCTATGAAAGTTGTTCCTTCCAGCCTACAGCCACAGTCAACATCACCACCTCCACGACATTTAGGCCTGTCATTGGCTGCAGATGTTATGAGCCGTTATCGCCGGTCGGTTGGCCGAACGGTTAAGACAGAGGAACCGTGACATACAGCCATAATATCGGCGTTGATTCGAACGGCACGCTCGCCTATGGTGGAACAAGTCTTCTCGGATAAGGATTCTAAACCGTAGGCCCAGTGTACACAATTGGCTCGTGTGCACTTTAAAGAACCTAGTACACCATTGGAGAAGAGTAGGGGGTTACCCCGGTGTACTGGTCCATTTCCAGTCCCCGTCCGGTCACAGAAGGAGCGTTTACGTCGCGACCCATGTCAGGTATCCATCCTACCTGCAAATCCTTCTAGCACACTACGTAAGCAAGATGATACACACTAGCTACGTAGTGACTCGATAAGTAGAAGAATCGCCAACATGTGTTTGTCATCCGAGAGAATGTGTCATCATACACCCTTACCACCCTTATGAATAACGAACAACATGATTAACTTCGTACAGCAATCATTACCCTTTGCGCTGAGCTTAGACCTCTCTGGGATAGCACACTTACCATCCAGGTGGACAACGCATCGGGATTCACGGCATTGGCCCAAGATGAGACCCTGATGAAACTCGGAATTAAACTTGACTTTGGCAACGTAAAAACCGTTAACAAAAACCCTGTGGCAGAAAATGCTATCAAAGTTCTAGAACTTGAGTGTTTACATATTAACCCTGATGTGGTCCACTGACACCCGTCACCTTAGCCATCGCAACTGCAAACATGAACGCTAGGGTACGATATGGAGGTGTCTCAGCTAGAAAGTTTGGACTCAACGAGACCAGATTACTTGAGAACAACTACCTATTGAGGACAGACAGCTCATTCAACAGCGTCACTTCCAGCGTGTTCACCATGCCGCCAGTTCCAGATCAAAAGCACATGGATCTACGTCTCCTGCCTCAAGCTACGATACCATTTGGTGATCTGGTATACCTCTATGGAGACAGAGACAAAACTCAATTTCGTGATAGATACCTGGTGGTCGAAATTTTAGATGACCGCTGCAGACTCCGGAAATTTACGAAATCTCAGTTCCGCTCCAGGATATACGATGTCCGTCTCACAGACTACTACCGTACCCAACCAACGTCACTGCTACAATCATCTACCGAATTAATTCGAGGTTTAGCTGATGATTTTGACTCGGACACAGAGGAACTTGAACTTGCTCCAACTTTCCTCCCGCCCCCCTCATCCCGCCACCCCATGGCCATACTCAGGGGAATTTTCAACACCCTATTCAGCATGCAGAACGTCGATCTACAAGACTAAAGCGAGCACCAGGATAGCAGAACACTGGAGAATGGCTATTTCCTTAAAAACTGTTAGAACGTTTATATTTATAACTGTTTAAACTGTAACTTACAGTACAAAGAAAGATTTGTAAAGTATTACCTAGTTGTGTCTTTATTGCCGCTTGAAGACAGTTGCTGAAGTGCTCTTGGTCACCGCACTGACCAACATTGGCCAACGCGAATCATCCCAATTTACAAGAAAAGGTGTGGACAGACAATTGTTGAAGTTCGGGCCGCATGCTGGAAAATTCCTGTCTATACCTTCTCGTATTGCGAGGCATGACGACGTCATTGCGGACAGGCTTAGAGAGGGCCCATTGAATGCTCAATACACGCACCATTCTGTCCAAAATGTATTGTTTGAGATAATGAGCGACATTGTATTAAAAGAATTAAAAAAGGAAGTTAAAGAAGCTGGTTTCTTTGTTATCATTGCGGATGACACGAAAGACACATCGAAGAAGGAACAAGTTGTCATTGCCATTCGGTATTGTCTCCACGGAGGAATTCATGAAGAATTTATTGGTAAATATGCTTTTAACATTATTATTCCTGTGCTATTTGCTTGATGATGATTAAAGTCGAGGAATCTCGCACCAAAAAAGTCTCATAGTTAAGTAATAATAAGTACGCAGCTCCTATAAACAGGTTTAATATGTTTTACAGCCAATTGCGATTAATTATTGTTTGTATATATTCGTTTAGGAGTGGAAGAAGCAGGAGGGCTTGATGCATTGGGATTAAAAAGGACAATTTTGAACCAGCTTGGCAAGTTTGGGGTTTCTCTCGACAACTGTGTTGGGCCAGGCTACGATGGGGCATCAGTGGTATCTGGGCATTTAAGTGGTTTGCAGGCATTGATTAGAGATATAAACCCTAGGGCATACTATGTCCATTGTTTTGCGCATAGACTCAACCTCGTTCTAGTTGATGCCTCTAAATCGGTTTCAGTTCTCTCCAAGGTCATCCGTGTTTACAGGAGTCGGTATAACTTCATCACATCTAACGTTGTTCACAAGAAGTGGGTGGAACACCAAACCCAGCAAGAGTTAACAATCATGGAGTTCGGCCGACTGTCTGACACACGATGGTCCTGCAGTGCAAGACAAATAAATATGATTGGGCTGCGTCTACCTACCTTAATCAATGTTCTAAAGGATGTAGCATCTATTGATATGAATGCTCAAAGAAGGACAGATGCAAAGGGATTCCTTTCACAGTTAGATGCAGCATTCATCAGAAACATCCACTTACTCGCAACTGTCCCAAGTGTGTGCAAGTTTGCATCAGACATGCTGCAGTCTAAAACCAACGACTTAGGTCGTGCCATGGGCCTAATAAAAAGCAATGCAAGATGCAAGAATCAAAAGTGACAAGGGGGTTGAGAAGATGTTTGAGGAGGCAGAGAATCAAATAAAAAACGCTGGAGTCATGTCTGACGTTGTGGAGACGTTGAAGCAAGAAGACAACGAACCTGTGACTCCTGCTGCTGGGAGCAGCCTTAAAAGGAAACGATTTGTGCCTGCTAGATTCTCAGACTTTCAAGTACAGGTAACTTTTATTCTCATGTTTTTTACTTGAAGTCTTTATCGATATTCACATTCACCTAATCGGCCAAGAGCCACGTTCTGAATAGAAGTGCGTGTATTGATCAGACATTGAATCGAAACATTAGTAACTAAACAATTGCAATAAATGTAATATGCATTTAATATTTTTGACAGGACGTGGAAACTTCTGTCCACAAGACACGTGCTGACAACAGAACAACCACTACACTAAAAGGATATGCAAAGACTGCGTCATCTGTTATTGATCATGTTCTAGTAGAAGTTGATAAACGTTTCGGCAGAAAGAATGCTGAACTCATTGCAGGTGTGGTAGCCTGGGTTCCAGGCCCTAATTTTAAGTTACTCACTCTTTATTGCACTTAGTGCGCGCCATACCTAATTTAATTGGCGTCCCATACTCGATTTCTTTTTTTTCGAATTAGGGCCTGGGCAAACGATTCATGCGTGCAATTTCCCACATCAAATTTGATGTGGGATATCGTATGCATGACTGATTTTGTAAATCACGTGATTGGCTAAATTCATGCATATTAATCAATCTTGGTAAATTTTCAAAATTGAAGATGCGGATGTCTCGACTAGAACAAGCTCCAGCTCTCTTTTGGCTACCTACTTGAATAAAAATAGTTCTGGCCTGCTAAGAACGACATGGACTAATAACCTAGGCTATAGGACTACTTGGAACATTGCTCACCGCTAGCTGCTACACAGATTTAGGCCTTTAGGGTAGAATATTGTTAAAAAGGTAGGCCTCTCTAAGTAAGAACTTAAAAATAGGCCAAGCCTCTACTAGTCTAGGCTAGGCCTACTACCTAGATGTGTATAAGAGACAGTTGTTACCTGTTTGAAGAGTTTTCACTCCAATTCTTCGTAATTTTGGCTAATAGACATTAGATTTATTTTTCAATTTTTTGCTGTCACTTACTTTGGCATCCTGGTGCCTGATTTCAGTGTTTTACAAGTCGCTTATTCCGTCTCTAAATTAACTTTCTCGTTGGTGGCGCTGTCCAGAATAAGAAAAATAATAAAAAATAAGAGACTTGTGGCAAGTCTACAGGTGTGGGTGCATTTTACCTAAATACTGCAAGATTCTTGGAACAAGAAGATGTGATAAATTTTGGCCAGCTATATGACTTTCCAAGTGATGAGGTAATGATTGAATTGCAATACTTCAAGAACCATTGGAAGAGAGTAAAACCTTCTGAGAAGCCGAAGTCCTTGCTTGAGTTTTAGGCATATTTATCGGATATAGGCCGTGAAAGCTGTGATAATTGACTGTATAAGCTTGCAACGATTGCTTGCACACTGCCGGTAAGCACTGCAGAATGTGAGCGTAGCTTCTCTAGCATTAAGATAATCGAAGATGACTTGCGTTCTACTATGTGCCAACAGCGTCTTGATTCGTTAATGATGCTTGGTATCCACTATGAAAGGAGTAGCAATCTGGATTTGGAAAATGTAGTCGATACATTTAAGCTGAGGTTTCCAAAAAGCAGGATAGCCCTATAGAATCACATTACTAGTCAGTCAGTTGTTAGTGACATTACCAGAAATAAGATAAGATTCTCATAGTTACCAACCATCTAGCATCGTGCGGGACAGTCCTGCATTTCAAAGTGATTTTGGATAAAACGCGCATTTTGCGCGAAAAACATGCATGATCATAAATTTGTCACGCATTTACCACTATGTGTGTAAATGCGTGAGTCTATGCGTGATAACGAATTATCAAGAATTCAGTGGAAAATTAGAAGAAATATATTTTATTAACGATATAAAAACGGTCATGCAGTAATTTGATTCAGAGAGCTTTTAAAATAACGCCCATGCACTTTTTATGGCAGTATTATGTATTAAATAAATCATGCAGGGGCTTTTATGTAAAGAAAAGTGTTGTAAATAGTGATAGTTATACTGTTATTTTTGATATGCCTTTTGTATAGATTTTAAAAAGGCTTCTAGGGTACAGCGATTGTCATTAATGCATCCAGCACTCAAATGTTGTACCGTAAATTATACGCATTCTGTTCACTCAATGATAGACTCAATACAAAAATGAAAAAAAATATTCACCATTAATGAAAGCTTTTTTGTTCTTGCTTTCGCCATCAGTTCGATATTTAACTGGTACACTGTACAGTGCACTTGAACATGATACAGAAATAATTAAAACTAGACAAGTAAGCAGCCTTGTAAAAAAAAATTAATTTATCATCTTAATGCTTTTATGAATACATTAAAATAGTGTTACAGTTGAAATTAAGTACAATGAAATGCGTATTTATTGATTTGAAAGTACTGTATATATATAGTAACAACTAACAATTTTATATTAATTATCAACTGTATTTTACAAGGCTGACGCTAACCAGTGCCATTTCCGGCCATCTAGAAGTCCCATTTTTAAAAAAATCTCGTTTGGGAGGAGGGACACCCCCTCACATATCCACCTCCCCGGCTCGGGCTTCGGCCCTCGGATAGCGCTGTGCACTATCCGTTACACCCATAAATACTTAGCCCCCAGTCGGACATGATAGCCTCCATAAATTATATCCTAGAGCCGCCACTATGTTACATATTGTTAAGGCGTTGTAGGAGAGTGCTGAGCTGTCTCTTATACACATCTAGATGTGTATAAGAGACAGGTGTGTGGGTGTGCGCGTGGGTGTGTGTATGTATATGTATGTATATTCAAATTAAGCTTGGTGCTTGGTGCACCGTTAACAAATATAAACAAATATGATAAATAATCTGAGGAATACATTATTCTCACAAGTAAATACATTCTCTAGTGCCATATCATTACCTGATGTTGTGTGAATTATGAATCGCACAAGATGGTGGATCAAGGAATATAAAATAGATGGAACTTACGGATGGGTGGTTTAGACTATCACAGTCCTAATTTCTCATTTCTCACCTTAGACTTGATCCCTCCCTCACTTCATCGTGTGATATCAAACTGCTTTAACCATAGCGCAGAGCCAGCCTTCTATCATTTCAAACTCCTCATTATCTTCCCTACTTCCAACAATCAATCTTTTCCTTGTTTCTTCGTGTTGTGTGGTGGTGGGTAGAGGGGGTAGGGAGTGAGTGGGGACATTGTAATTCAATAAGTGTTTCCGTTCTGTGTTTTGTACCTTGCGAATAATTGCCCTTGAATAAATAAATTGAATTGAATTGATCTGAATTTGGAGCTGTGATTGCACTCTAGTTGCAAATATAAATAAAAAATGTGAATTTCTTTTTTCCCTTTAAAAAGTAGGGCTTCAATTCGAGGTTTTACAGTATATGTGTTAATCGATGTACCTGTATTTAATTTTAGTCCTAATAATTTGGATATTCGAATGATAAAGGCACAAAATACCATGGATTGGACCTTAAAGAAAAACTATCCTTTTATTCAAAATTGCCTTATCATGCTTCAGAACAACACAATTTGTGGTATCGAAATGACACTTTATTTAAACAATCAATGAATTATGATACCGAAACGTCTTTATATTGGTATTTGTTAGCTTATTGGACGACCTCAGGAAAAAGTAATCCAGAAGTCGTAGGCCTACAATTACTGCATCATGGGAAAAGTAAATGTTTGTCGTCTCCGAATTTGTATAGTGTTATAAAGCCTATTATTATTATTAAATTTGGAATGGTACCTTATAGAATATAGCCAGGATATAGAAAAAAAATTGTTTCAAAATGCTTGAGACAATGACACTGTTGGAATTTAAAACGAAAATTTGCTTTAGTTTTTTTACATGAAAATTATCTTGCTTTAGAGTAGGCCTACGGCAATGTCATGCTCCCCTCTTTCTGGACTTTCTCTTTCTGGACTTCTCTCTTTTTGTTTATTTTTTGTGGGGTTTTTTTGGAGACATGATTTTTTATTTTGCCAGGACAACACATCCACATACTCGTCGGGAAAATGTTATAAAATTTCAGATAAATGAACGAAAATTCAAATCCAGATTAATGTTAACATTATTGCTAACATTATTAAGATACCAGTAAGAGCCTTTAGTAAGCTTGTTTTGAGAACGAGGCATCATTATTACCTGTTATTTTATACGAAGTTGGCATAACCAGCACCAGGCCTGTTGTCTTGTGCTGGTAGAGGGTCTAGTAGATAGAAGCCACCCGAATTGACAGGTGATTGTATGAACTTTGATTGACTGGAGGCCTAACTGTCATTATCATCATCGTCACACCTGAACGACTCAACACAATACCTCGATACAGGCAGAGCAGGTAGCGGTGAACACTCAAAATCGCTATTGTTTACGGTCGCCATGGCAACAGTTAATGAAGCGATAGACACGGGTAATAATAACACACAGAATAGAATTCCTATCACCGATGATGACTCAATAATATCCGATATACTATCTCAGCCGTCTCAATCTAAATCGCCACACGTTGAGTGTCTGGATGGTTGCAAGGTAAATAGCAACAATAACCCAGTTGAATGCCAACTATGTGGTACCCACTATCATAGGAAGTGTGTTGGGGCTAGTAAGGGTTTACATGTTTGGTTTTGCATCAAGTGTAAACGAATTCCTTACTTAATAACAAACCTACACGAAACTATGAATAGTCTATCAATGAAAGTAAGTCAACAGGAAAATAAAATAAAATTGCTACACACTTAAAAATAAAGGTGCATCAAAAGGTGCAAAGATAGAAAATGGTACAAAGTTGTACCTTTTCATCATACAAAGGTGCAGAGAGGGTGCAGAGTTAAACTAAACGATAAAAAGGTACATTGTTGCACCTTTTGCTATCAGAAAATACAGATGGTC